AAATTCTATCTTTCAAGTTACACACACCTACAACTAGCAAGATCAAGACAATTAGCTTCTAGGTACACACACCTACAATTTCAAAAATTTGAAAGTAACTAAACATGTCTATGGCAATTTTGGTTGCACACACCTACAACTTCCATCCTTCACATTCTTGGTTAGACTTAAACATAGAAACACACAATAATGATCAAGACGATTAGCTTCAAGATACAACATTTGCCCTTCTTTTTCTCCTTCATCATGACTTGGTTACTTTCAACACGACTTTCATAAGATGTCAATATTTCTTCCAACTCCTTAATTCTCTTTGCTAATCTCGGAATAACACACTTGGATCTTATATCAACTTCTTCTCGATCCCTCCATCTAAAGAAGTTGCACGCATTCTCCTAAAATACGCAAAACACAAATTAAAGAAAAATACATAAACAAAAGATTTCCATAAAAAAATTAGTAAACATACACGATAGCGTGGACAAGACCAAAATCTTCGAGTTGGGTTATGCTCCGACCATGAAGTTTGCATTGATAGTAAGTCACCATGTTTGCATCGCAGTTTCACTCGCAACATCGGATCATTCTCATCATTACAAATACGATTCAACATTGCATTTAACATTTTCAATCAAAAACTAACCATAAAATTGAGAAGAAATTCAACCATAAAAAAAACTTCAAATTAACGTTTCTACTGGAAATTAAAAGAGAAAAGACGAATACCTACCTTATTTTCTTGAGGAAGATATGAAGTCGTCAAAAAGAGAGCACCAATATTGTTCTTGCCATGGAACAAAATTTTAGGGCTACCAACGGCTATTTTTGAGTTTAAATTGGGGAAGATACAAAAATTGATTAAATAATTAATATTAAAGAAATAAAATGACATGTGGTTGTTTTAAACTGGTAAATAAAAAGGAAAAATGGCCCATGATGCACTTAACGTGCGTGTAAACAACCCAGATGAGTTAATGGGTAAAAATGGCCAATTTACAATGATATATAGTTGTTTTGTGGTGTGATAGGACACTTCAAAAGTTTAGGTGTCTTTATGCAAATATGAGACAACTTCGATGGTGTCTTTATGTCTTTTCTCTTGTCAAAATAAAAATCTAGAAGAATCCATACATGTCTTAGCTTATGTTATGGGTCCATAAGAATCTTAATGTCATTTTGTTTAAATGAAGAATTTCTATCACTTCTTACAAACAATAATAAATGCTAAGCTTGTTTTGACATATTTTAGAAAGAAAATTTGAGCTAATTAAAATAAAATGTGTTTGAAGAGATAATATTTTGTTCCTAAATATACTTTAAGAGAATATTGCGTTAACATATTTTTAATATTATATTACATAATATGACCACTAAATTCGTATTTTGATTATTAAAATAGTCTTTAAAATGACATATTAGTAGTTTTTATTTGAAGAAAATATCAAATTTCGTGACTAAAAGAATGAATAATGTTTGACTATCAAGAAATCAATAATTTGATAATGTATTCATTAAAAGATAAAAAATATAAAAAAATTATTTTTATATTTTCTTAATACGGAAAAGGGCCTAAAATATCCTCGAAGTATTGAAAATGGTACACAATTATCCTCCATCCACCTATTGGCCCCCAAATAATCTTCACATCCACCTTTGGGTTCAAATTTACCCCTTCATTAACTAAACAAAATAAAAAAAATTAAATAATAATTTTTAATGACGTGACACTCAACCATTGGTTGTAATTTAATTATTTAAAATAATTTTAAACTCACCCATTACCCACCCATTTTAACTAAACCCACCCATTACTTTTATTCTCATGATTAACATTCGTCGCAAGCATCCAGGAACCAATAGTAACATCCTCATTGCTAAACATTCGGAAACTGAAAATTCAACAGCAAGGGAGATAACTTATCAGCAATTATGCTTTTGACATTAGGCTCCATTATCCCAGCAGCTCTAGTTTGAGTGAAAATGACTGCAGCCTCCGTTATTCCTAGCAGTAGTAGGCTTTTACTCAAATCATAGGCCTTGACGTCTCGAATCCATGGTTGTAATTGGGCCTGAAAGTTTTGATATTTTAATTCGTTTGGAAATCCAGATCCACAAACCTTCCATAAAATATTTGGTTTGTGCTTGTTTGGCAAATTTGCTAATTGAATTTAATGAGCTTTTGGTTAGATGTAAATCAGGAAGAGAATGACATTGAATATGATGAGGAAGGAGAAGTTGTGGATGTTTTCGACAGTGACTTTGATGAAGATGTAAGTTCGAAGTGTTCCATTTCTCATCACTGAACCTTTCATTTCACAAATTTTAGTGATGGATTGGTTACTTGTACTGGCGGTTCTAGCTTGGAAGGGTATGAGAATAAAATTAATGGGTGGGTTTAGTTAAAATGGGTGAGTTTAGTTAAAATTGGTGGGTAATGGGTGGGTTTTAAATTATTTTAAATAATTAAATTACAACCAATGGTCGAGTGTCACGTAATTGAAAATTATAATTTTTTTTTAAATTTTGGTCCGTTAATAAAGGGGTAAATTTGGACCCAAAGGTGGATGTGAAGGGTATTTGGGGGCCAATAGGTGGATGGGGGTAATTGTGTACCATTTTCAATACTTCGAAGGTATTTTAGGACATTTTCCGTTCTTAATATCAAATATGTTAAACTATTTAAAGAGAAAATTCGACAAGAAGAACATTGAACATTCAAATTCTAATGAATATTAAAATTCAATTAAAGTAAATGAGTAGTTAGAAAATAAAGAAGAATAATAAAAGAAAATGTCAATAGAAAAAGACTTTGTTTAGAATTATAGAGGAAGAAAAAAAATTAAAAAATAAATAAATTAGAAAAAAACAACCTGAAAAAAAGTATATTGGTTATTTTGTGGGGGTAAGCCTTAGAGTTTTCTTTACGGCATGATATTAAGTGTAGTATCAAAAAAATTAATTAATTTAATTTTTAGAATATAACAATACAATAATTGTTATTGTATATAGAAATAAAGTTTCTTTCATGATTTTATTGTTGTGGAGGCAAAAATTATTTTTTTAATAAATACTTTCAATATTTAGAATGTAACATTACGATAATTGTTATTGTATATAGAAATAAAGTTGCTTTCTTGATTGTTTTTATTGTTGTGAAGTTATAAATTAATTTTGTAAGTATTTCTAATTATCGAAGACAATAATAAAATGTATCACAAAATTCATCTACAAAGTCAAATACAAACATCATCATACTTAAGTTGAAGCAATAGAGATTTGAAAGACTTTAAATCGATCTTTACAAGTTGATTGATCAATGATTAATATTTTATCATATGCAAAGCTTATGGTGCAAATATCACAAAACGAAGATAATAACATTGTGAAAAATAAATACCACTTGCAAATATATATGACGATCGATGAATTTTTTCAAAGATATCAAAAATTTATATATTCTTTGACCACAAAATGTTTTAACTCTTAATCTAGCACAATTGTCTATTTCCTTGCTGCAAAGAATTTTTTAGAATTAAATTTTCTCAATTTAGGTTGTAAACAATACATTTATGTCGTATGACCATTTGAAATAGATTATAAAGTAATATATTGAAGTTGTTTACTAAATAATAAAATAGTATAAAGTATAGAAATCTCATATTTTTGGAGGTTAATTACATTATATCCGAGAAGTTTTCTCAATTACAAAAATTACAGATTTTTAATTCATCTCGAATACATTTCTTTGATTGTCCAAGACATTGCAAATGACATATTATTACGGGGAAGGGATATATTCGAGAGGGGATAAATATATATATCCGAGAGGAAAACGAATGTATCGCAGAGAGGATTATAATATCTTAAGTCGTGAATTGATGTAATTTTCCAATAAAATATGTAAAATTATATTGGGCCCATATCACAGACCTTAAAATATCTAGTATATATATATATTATAGAGTGTGTGTTATCTCCAATCTTTTGGTAGGGTTGTTTAAAATTAAAGACAGTCAAAATCATTAAGTCAATTGACAAATTATTATTGATTTTAACAAAAATAATTTATTAAATTTATGATTGGGTAAGAATAAAAATATAGTCACTATAATCTTTTATAAGTGGAATATGAAAATGGTAGAGTAAAAAAATGTTATTTATGAAAGATCTACTGCTCAAAGAATTTATAATTCGGTAATGGTTTAGATTATTTATTTTTTTGTGAATTATCAATTCTATAATGATTTATGATTTTTCTTGACAACTAAGCTGACAACTTGATAATTTTAAGCTTACATCAAGCTCTTATTTTAGACTTTGAAGTATGTTTCTGAAACTCTAGACAATTTACATGTTTTCCTTTGTTATATCAATAGTTGCATATGATATTATGTTGGCCTGATTGTTGATTTGATAATGGCCCTCCTTTTGTGTTCTTAAATTTACACATGAGATGACCCCTGTCCTTAGTATAATAGGCAATTTGCCCCACTTTCTAATTAATTTAGATTTTCTTACTTCTAAATGCATGCCTCTTCAATTATGTTTTCTTTGAAAATTGATGGAGAAATACTGGCACTACTTTTTTTTTAAAAAAAGTCTAAATTGTCTTTATTTTTCTCGATTGATTCCTCTTATTCATCTGCTAATTTTGTCCCTTTTGTTTATTGTATGAACCATTGAATCGAGTCCATTGGACTCTTGTATCTTCTCCCTTTGCATCTCAAGTTGGGTCATGGAAGACTAAACTTATTCCGTTTGGGTCTGCCTTATAGAAAATGGTCATCAGACTGATATAGAAAGCAAGGGAAACTGAATTACATGTTTCGAAGGATGAAAATGTCCCGTATACACTTAGTATACAGTCTTGTATATAAGGAAATAGGTTGATATATAGTTAATATATATAAGTACACTCAGTGTATATACATTGATATAGGGATGGATATGGGCTAGAAGAGCCCAAATGCAGCAGTTTGGCCTAAGTTGTTGGTCTCATTCCTCTAAAATCTCTTATTTCTTTAATGTATTCGAACTACATATTAATATATCTGAGCCAGTATTTAATATGTCCGGGCTACAAATATGTATCCGAATTATTTTATAATGTATCTAAACCACATATTATGCATCTGAGCTAGTTTTTAATGTATTCGAGCTACGTATTATGTATCTGATTTATGTTATAATGTATCCGAGATACTCTTAATATATCCTATCTGCATATCCAGTTTGTATTACTTTTTAAGAGATTAATGTAATTACAAACTAAAAGAATAAATTGTAGTTTCATATTAAAACTATGTGATTCCTAAAATTCATAACTAGTAAAATTACCTAAGTACACACTATTTATTATCATATTTTCTCTACCATTTCAAAAAATATCAAAATTCCTTCTTTTTCTCCCATCATTACCTTTTCCGGATACAATAATTTGAAGTCTCATACCCATGGTTTTTTTTTCTTTTTTATTTTCAAGCCACAAATCTCTCTACAATTACCTACATTAATCCATTTTTAAAATTCAATTCTTTTTTCTTTTCAATTAATGATTTCAAGTTATTCAAGAGGTAGATTTTTTCCATCACTTCAATTTTTAATTTCTTTTAATTTTTTTTTAGTTGTTTCATCTTAAATTATTGAATTTGTTACTCCCGGTCTTTTTACAGGAAGAGGGGTGGAAAACGTTGTTAATGCAAAGAGTTCATCTTGAAGAACATTTGGAATTGTTCATGGCAATCTTGATACACTTCATTCCAGTGGTTTGATCTTTCAGTATCGAGCTTACCCAATCAGTTCCAGAACGATACATCTTCGTTGCTTTCCGTTGATTAGTTGTTGAATTTTTTCGACTTTTTAGTTGTTCAAATTTTTTGATACATATAGGGTCAAATTTGTAATGTATCTAGTTGGTTTTGTTTCTTAGCCCAATGTATACTGTCTTCGTTTATATATTATGACACATTACAATTTTATCATGCACAATGTATCGTGTTCAAATATCAATTTTGGTACATAATCTTAATTAGTATTGATACTTGATATACAAATTCTACCAAATGTATCATTTATCATATATCAGCCTTTTCTCAACAAATATATGATACATATGAATTATGCTATCAAACAAAATAAGTTATATAAATAATAATGTAACATGCTCTAT